ATTAAAAAACCGTTTACATTTATTTATTTATATTAATATTTTTTTTAAAATAAATGAAAATTTACTTGTTCCGAATATTTTTTACATGTTTTATTAAAAATTTAATATTTTGTTGCTCCACCTTCGGCTGCTATACACGCTTGGATTCGACGGGGCATACTTTCAACTAATTTTTGAATATATTCAAGAGGAATTGAACGCCAAGCATTTTTTACCTTACGCTCCAAATCTTCCAAATTTTTAGGTTGATTAGACAAGTTGCGCACCTTTTTATCAACTTCATTCCAAAGATTCTCGATCGGGTTTAGATCAGGACTTTGTGCAGGCCAGGGTAGCACAGGAATGTTTGAGGCATTACGAACATCAGCGGCAATCTTTGATTGATGAGGTGGAGCATTATCCTCTTGAAAAATTCCTTGATTGCAAGGAACTAATTTATAAAGCGAAGGAATAGCATGCTTCTGTAACACTTTCGCATATGTTTGTCCTGTTACAGATTCACGAAGAGGAACGAGTGGTCCCATCCCATGCCACGAAAAGCACCCCCAAAACATTCGACTGGGACTGTGCTTTACCGTAGCAGTTAAACAAGAAGGATCAAATTCTTCTTCTGGTGTACGCCACACACGTAAGCTACGACCTTGTGAAAATTGACTAAATGTTGATTCATCAGACCATACAATTTTCTTCCACTTTGCAATTGTCCAATCTTTTCGTTCCAAAGCCCAAGCCAATCTTTTGGTTTTGTTATTTTCAGAAATTAATGGTTTAGAGCGAGCAACACATGAACGTAAACCAATTTTTTTAAGGGTTCGACGAATTGTAACAGTTGAAACTTTCTTCTTTTTTTTTTTAATCCATAATTCCTGAATTTTATGAGTGGTGAGGTGGCGATGCTTCGAATTTTGTGTAACAATCTTTTTGAGTGAGGCTTGTGCATTGGAATCAAAAAGTGGCTTTGGGCCGCAATGTTTTTTTGGTATTGCAGAACCCGTTTTTTTGAAACGTTTTATCGCATCATGGACAGTCGTTTTGCCACATTGGACATTGTCAGCAATTTTCTGATATGAATCACCTCGTTTGTGGCCATAAAGAATTGCCCCATATTGTTCAGCCGTTAACTCTTTTTTTTTACCCATTTGTATTTGTGAATTATTGTTATTGTTATGATCTACATGCTAAATAAATGCTTAAATTAGAAATATACG